TCTCAACTAGGCCAATATTTCAATTATTTCATTAATATTTTTTTTTTTTTTACTGTGGTAAACTTACATCAATAATCAGCTAAAAATGTTCACAATTTTGGCAAAGCACTCATGACTGTGAAATGTGAAATACAGCACTATCGTGGCAGCGCCGGCGTCGGCTCAAATCAGCTATTTTACCCTTTCAAAAGCGGGCAACCTGGACTTAGTCGTCTGACTTTATTTCTTTTGGCGTCGAGATTTTAATCACTGCAAGTGGGCTACGTACTTCATTATGCATAAGCCCTACTCCTCAAATCGATTAATCTATTATTGGTGTTGATGGACGGAATTAAATGAATGAACAGTTACATGAGCGTTTGCCTGGAACCTTACTTATATTGACAGGTCATGTTTTTTTTGGACACAGTTAAGCAACTTTATCGGCGGCAGAGGGAGAAAAAAAAGGATTGCGCGTACCCTGGTGACATATATTGTAAATCAATCGCGATTCTTGAAAGTTGGCAGCACTGCTTTTTCCATTTAAACGTATGCAAAACAATCGATTCTGGACGAGGCAGCCTGTCTCACCTGGAATCGATATATTAGATAGCTTCAAGGGAGTATTAATTGTGTGGCCAACTTGCTGGAATCGCTCCTGCCGTAAAAGCAGAGCTGCGAACACGATACCGTTCTGATGAGCCTTTGAGCCGTCCAGTAAAGTTAATATCCACCGATTCAGACCTACAGATACAAGTTTTAGAGCAATTTTCCTTTCGAATTTAACTAACTAGTAAATCGCGTTTTCTTATGGTTACCGTCCAACCATACATAAAATTGTTTAGTTTTTGTTTCCTGTTTTTTCCCCCTTTATGATTTACACTAAAAAAAGCTCCAGCTAAGCTATCATAGCAGACATGTGCTTCTATGCTTGTTCCATACTATTATCCCGCCATTCTAGGGGCACGGTTCGTTGGCTTGGCAATGAGGCTAGAACGAAGGCGAAAAGCGGAAGAGGCAGTGCTTAAGGATGGAAACGGATCGGATCTGGCCGATGAACTGATGAATTAGGGAACGGTGATTTAAGCATGGTCGGGATTTAAAATGCTCCTCAGCCCCCGCTTCAATTGGAAAGCGGAGCCGCGGAACTGCTGGGCAGGATGAAAAAAATCTATTACACCAATCCTGATTACATAACATCTCCACCCCACTCTCCTCATCCCTGCTTCCACGACCGACGCATTGCCACCCTCCCAATCTGCCCACTGTTTTCCCAGCGCTCTGATGCTGTCCTCAAGCCTTCTCTCGTCGTTTCTGTCAGCGATTGCCCATTTTCGGACTCAGCGGCTCATAATACATTGGTAAGTCTTATCTCGCAGCTGAGAAAATTCTAACCTGTACACTCAGCAGGGGGTAACAGTCGGAAGAACACCAAAAATGACCATTTTTCCTAATAAAATCGGCTTTTCCGGAAAATTATAGAATGATGGAATAATCAGCCTGCTTCGGTCGACAGTGCGACGAATATCAACAGGCGTATTTTTTAATTCAATTTTGCCGCATAGCAGCATGGTGCGCTTAGACCTTTATGATTCTTCAAAGCCGGCAGTTTTTTCTGTATTACAGTTACTTAAATCTTCAAAACAGGAAAGTCTAAAGCTATAAGAATATTTCTGAGCGGGAAGAGCAAATCTGATTTATACAATTCAAGCCAAAAAAAGTCGTCAAAGGTAAATCCATACACTATTCCGGTTACAACATTCCCCTAAAAGCTGACTTCGACTTCACAATTCGAGCAAATGGCGAGTCTGTTCGCTTGCTTGAGTAACAAGCACTTCTGTCCCAAGAGTTAAGCCCCTCACATCCATTCGGCTAGTGGGAGTAAACAGCCGTGTAAGAACCGAAAAGTCATGGACCGCACGACCTCTCGGTCAGCGAGGAACCCAAGGCTCATACGTTTTGGCACTTTCATCATTATTTACGTCCGCTCTTCGTTTAGTATCACGCCATTGGAGACAGAACTACAGCCGTGAACCCTACGAATAATCAAACGGAAGCGATGAGCTCTGAACGATTTCCAATTTGTAATTTGCTTCCACGCCGCGCCACACAGTATAGCATCAGTCACCGAAGGTGGTTGCATACGAAATTTTCGACTGAAACTGCAATGTTTAACGTTTATTTCGTCACACTATGGGCTCCAATAGTTGCTTCAAGTAGGGTATCTCGCGAGAAAATCAATGGGGCAACCTCCAAATTTCTAAGTTTTGATAGTTATTCAAGCACTTAAAGTTTCTATGTCATATCCGAGCCCTTTCATTGACTTGTACCACTGTGCGTCATCCCCTGTCGAACAAAACCCTATGCTTCCACGCTCAAACATTCAAACGGGTAAATAAAATGAATTAGTCCGCGGTATTCAACAGAGGCTTGCTCCGGAACGCTGCTCATGGCGTCGCTCCTCTGATGTAAGGGCGTAGCTCGATTTCTCCATGAGCCCTAGAAAGCACTGATTCATATGTAAAACAGGGCTCACGTGGAAACTGAGGTACGCCCTTACGTCAAAGTGGCGACGATGGGTCGAGTAGTAACTTTCGGTTGAATGGAGGGAAAAACATACGGTAATATGAAAACGCGCTTCGGAACTCCTGGTCCCTGTCTGGGCGATCATGCAAGCACGACTGATGCGCTATTGTATTGATGTTTCGTTTCAATGGTGAAAAAAATAATAGTGACAACAATACGCTTTTGTGAAATTCCCGAACTTTTAATTGAATCCACATTGAAATTTCGAATTTTTATTGCAAACAACAATTTGTGAATTTCACGCTATAGCTAATGTCACACGATCAAATCATGCCATCTATATATTAAGGTCAAGTGTTGTGATTGGTCCAAGTCATCAAATATACTTGAAGATTTGATGGCTTGGTTTGATCGTATGTGACCTCAGCCAATAGCGTGAGATTTGGAAGAAGCGTTTTATAAATACAGCAAATTTAAATCGTTGTCTCATCATCTTTTGGATTATGATTTAGATTAATGGATTAAAGGAGACGATGGTTTTTCGGTGTAAGCAAGTCTTATTCTCAATTGGTGATGCGGCAAATTTCCGTCGGATTTTTTTTTTTTCCCGTCCAGTGGCAACATTCTTTCAAAATTGCATAGAATCATCTTCCTCCTTTTGGTATTCTGGTAACGCTGTTAGATCTGCTTATAACTAACAGATTTTTTCCGCGACTACTGTAAGCTGATTCCCTGGTTTTTGTGGGTTCCTTTTCAAGATATTAAAATGCAAGGTGAATTCCAAACAGCGCAAAAAATTATACATATATTATCGCATCATATCGTATACGTCCAATCTATTTACAATGGCACGGCCATGATATCTGAACGAGCAAGATCTACTGATAACACCATTTCAGGTTTTCATAGGTTTTCAGATTGCATTGAAAAAAAGGCTGTAAAGTAACTGGTAAATATGGATGTATGTGGTTTGATTTACATTCACATGAGTCGCTTTATGGCACCCTGGCGCTCTACGACACCTAACGTCCACTGCCCCCTGTCGAACCACAACCGTTCGGCCATCGCACAGCTTAACATTTCTGCTTCAATCCCATTCCTCCAAAAACCCCATCCTTTCAACCTTTCATCTCTCCATCTCTAGTCTCTTCTCTCGTTTAATTCTTCTGATTCTTTTCTCTTTTAGATACTGAATTATCATCGTTTGAAATTTTAAATTCCACCTCGAAATTTCAACATTTTCAGTAATCGGACGGATAACCTTTAAACGGTTGTTGATTATGTAGGTACAGCCGGAGGAGCACAACGGAGAGATAGAGGGATGAAACTCAATAAGTAATTATGCATAATTAAAGAGTTAGGAATTCCCGGGAGGGAGGGGTGGGCCATCACAAAAGAAATGCCCTGGAAGGGCGAGGGCTCTCCAGGGCGCGAGGCCCAAGGCAAACATAATAGTCCTAAGGTCAATCACTGACATTTAAACAAAATAATACTCTTTCTCCTGGAACCAGGGAGCAAAGCGTTGATAAGGTTATGAAAATCAGCGATCTTGCTCGCCTCTCACAAGTGTGAGTCACTGTTGACAGTTTTAATTCAAAACGTACAAAAACTGTAATATGGAAGGTTGCCGAATTTTCTCAAACGCTTGTTTTCTGTATTTTGATGGGAAAAATGAAATTTTTAAATAAAAATTATTCGCCAACATCGTTAAGGTGGAAAATAATTCTCAAACGCTACATGAAGTACTTGTTCTAAAGTTTTGACTTAACATATCATGCAAATTGCCATACAAATTTTAACTACCCAGTTATTGCCAGACTTTTATTAAAAAGAATCATTATTCCCTCCTTTACGAGTAAAATAGGAAGGTTGTAGGAGCATAATCAAAAATATATCCGGGAATAAATTTGACAGATTTTCAAATAGGTATAAACAGGTCAAATATGTAAAATTTGGCGACTTATACATTTGGACTTACACGTTTTGGACATGACAATTTTGGACATAACGTCTGGGGATCCCATATATACAATATACTGGCGTCCAGAAACAGTATATGATGCGTAACCTCGTCCCAAAAATGCAACTTTTTGGAGGAATGGGATTGATGGGGGGAGGGGTGTCCAGAGGGCCTTTTTCCAGAGAATAATCAAACTTCATACCTTTCAAACTTAATTTGAGGGCATTTTTTGGCACAAAATATAAGAGGAAAGAAAAAGAGGAGATCCCGTTAAGACTTAACCATGAGCTCATGAGAAACAGATGTATTTCTAAGGGAGATGGAAAGCCTGATAAGGAGCGACTATAAACTGGACTACATTTTGCAATTTGGAACTATAAATTTTAGCCCGGTTTAAAAACAACGTATGTGCCATTAGTCTCCCTGTGCACATAAGTGTTTTTCCAGAAGAGCGAGAATTTATAGTTCCAAATTGCAAAATGCAGTCCAACTGAGACCCTGAAAGAAAACTAATAGAGCGAAGCAGATAACTCACCTGGATATTCTGGGCAGATAGCGGCTTCTCCTCGTCCTCAGGGCAGGTTTCTATATCGACCGTAGTCTCGTCCTCGGGCATGTCCTCGTCGCTGGGGGTGCCTGGGGAGCTGAGGGGCCGCGGGTGGGGGTGGGGGCAGGGCAGAGCGGGGGCCGGGGCCACGGAGGCGAGGACGGGGCGGAAAGCCGACTGGTAGAACTTGGGATCGGCGGCGGCGTTGGAGTTGAGGAGGAAGGGATGGTTGGAGCCGCTCGGGAGGCCGAACTGGAGGGACGCCGCGGCAGCCGTGGCCGGGGACAGCCAGTTGATCGGCGAGTACGGGACGAAAGGGTTCTTGAGGCTCCCGTGGTGCCACACGTAGTCCATGACCATCGGCAGGGTCGGCACTCGCGGAGGCGGCGCTGGCAGTTGGAACGTCGGAGGGCTGGACTCCCGCGATTTCGACACAGAGATCTGCAAAAGTTTCATTCACTCACTGAAAAAATATAGTAGATTCTACCATACTCTGATACAGTGGTCCAAGTATGGTAATAAACACCAGGCTCTATGGTAGAATTTACCGTGCTATGGTAAGTATCGCCAGAGTTCTGGTGAACACTGCTCTAATCTCGTTATTTCCACTAAGTAGTATTACTGTCAAGTAATCAAGTAGTCTTTTGGTAGATGTTACCATCTTTTTTTTCAGTGTTGGACCACTGGACAAAACCCGAGGTTCAAGTGCCAGAATGTATGTTTCCTCATCAAAATTTCACGATCTATGAAACAAAATTTCTGTAATAACGTTTTCCGATCCATCAATTCGAGTAACCATAAAAAACATTATCTACATGATGAGAAGAAAAAAAACTCAAATGTCGTTTTATATTAAAGTAAAAAAAAATCAGTTCGCCATAAATGACAAAAATATATTTCTTTGAACTATAAAATAATTATTTTATTCAGAATGAAAGTCTCTCGTGGTTTTTATCCCTATTTAATTTCCCCCTGAAATAGGAAAACATGAAAAAATCAAATAAGCTTAAAAAATTTCTTAAAATCAGACAATTTCTCTCAAATTGGAAAAAAAATCTACTCATATTTTTTCAACGGGCGAAACAACCCCGACTTAAGGCGTGAACGGTAGAAAGGGTTCTGGATTGGGTCCCCCTTGGCAGAAAGCGTAGAGGATGCCCTGCCAAATCGTGGATTGAGGGAATAAGGCAGGAAATGAGAAGATGCGATCTGCCGGAGGAGCTCTAGCAGGATCGCTATCAGTGACGGTTGGGTGTCGCGGAGCGCACAGAAGCGCTGTAAGAGCCACTTGTTAGTTAGTTAGTTAGTTAGTTAGTTAGTTAGGGTAGAGAAGGAAACTTACGGAGGTGTTAGAGGGTGAAGAGGCGGAGACGAGGCGCTTGCGGGTGCCTCCGTTGAACATGGCTTTGACGTCCTCCCAAGCGTAGACGATCTCGTCGGGGGGACTCCCAGAGAGCTTCATGTGTCGTCGCCAGGAGTTGAAGTTGGCCGCGTCCGGCTGCACGTACTTGGGGTTCGGCCCGATCCGGTGGGAGTGGAAGATGAACTTGTTCGGCGAGAAGAAGAGCCCGCAGGTGGAGCACTTGATGCACTTGGCCCGCGAGGAGTTGTAGCGCCCGGGTAGGAACACCCCGCGACAGCCCCACGCGCACTCGTGGTGCACCGAAAACGCGAAGTCCTCCGGCAGCCGTGGTGGCGCGTTGTCTCCTGGAACAAAGCCCCGCGATTTTGAGAACTTTCGGGCACGTCCGTAAATCATATGACGCTACAGGGACAGTGCGATTTTGCGAGTTGGCAAATTCCTTCGAGTCTTTGGACTTCTTGAAGGCGAGATTTTCCGGGATTTTGGCTACACAAATACGCAAAAAATCACCACGTAATTTACTCAACTAGTACTCTCAGAGTATTATCAAAGAAAAAAATAAGGTTTGCAGACCTACTATCCTGAGACGTCTATATTTTCTCAACTGTCTCGGATAGGACCCTAAAAGCTCCCCTTAACACTGGTGGAGTGTTCCGAGTTTTTTTTTTTTTTTTTTTTTTTTTTTTTTTTTTTTTTTTAACCCGTGTCCCTCTGAAATGGCGATTCTTGAAAGTTGGCAGCATTGTTTTTCCTTTGAGAGCTTTTTTTTTAGCTTTGGTGTTCATTTCAGAGAAAACCGGTAGCATCATCGTGTTTCTCGCGAAGATTTTACATGGGTGTTAGTACTTCACTGGAAAAAAAAAACACATTGGATCTAGAGCCCAGACTCTTAAAAACATCGACAAGAAAAAATACTCTTGATTCAATCAGATTTAAGCTTAAATCAAGAACCAAGCCTCTTAATTTGAGCGGATTTCCTTTTGATTTAAGCTTAAATCTGATTGAATCAAGAGTCCTTTTTCTTATCAATGTTTTCAAGAGTCTGGACTCTAGACCCAAGGTGTTTTATTTTTACAGTGTTGAATCGCAAATTCCCGGCACATGCGAGAGCTCCATTGGGTAGAGAATATTTGATGAAGGCGGCGATACTTACCAAGGAAGGATTTGCAAAGTCTCTCAGCTTCCCGCCTGGTTATCATGCCGCATCGGCGGGATGACACAGGCATAGCGCCGGCTCTTCGCAGGATTTCCAGCTGAACAGGCGTGCATTGGACGCAGGTGATGCCTAGCGCCACGCGTCTGTTGTGAATCTCGTTATAACTGAAGTTCTTCAAGAGGGTGTTGCTGATTTGCGCCAGGCACAGTCGCTCTTGAGCATCGATCAGTAGCGATACAATCGGCACACCGTATAGTACTACCGTTCCCACCTGGAAAATCAATGTATTCTTATTCGTCCAGAGCAAAAACTTTTCTCGAAGTGAATTCAAAAGTGCAAATAGGGGGAGGATATGGAATCGATCAACAAGAATCAATCGAAAAGTAAAAACGTGAACTGAACGACGTGAATCGACACCGACCGATCAATTCAATCGATTCACAGGTTTGTAGATCAATTCATAGGTTTGGAGATCAATTCACAGGTTTGTAGATCAATTCACAGATTTGTCGATCGATCCATGGAGTTGTGTCGATCGAGTAACGGCTTTGTCGATCAACTCACGGGGTTTGTCTATGATTTCGAGGCTTTGTTCACAGATTCACTGATATTTCGATAGCTCGTGAGGTTTGTCGATCGATTCACGTCGATCTGTTCGCCGTATTATTTTTCAATCGATTCATGTCGATTAAATCGACATCGTTTTGTTTTCGATAATCTATGTCGATCGCATGGGTGTCAATCAGATCACGTAGATCGATTCCATGTCGATCGCATCGATACCCTCCAAAATTGAGACGCACTTAACAAAAAAATCGTATACCTCTATGATAAAAGTTAAGAAAAAGGGCACATACCTAAACATTGTGCAGCTAAGGACTGGTAACAAGTTTTGCATGGAAATGCACTTGAAAACCACCCAAAATTTCATCAGAAAACAAGATTATAGTTTGGCGTGCTTTACACTCCATCAGACGGATCTCTTTTACATAGTATAACTAGGGGGTTCCTCCTCCACCATAATATGATAAGTTCGATCATTCCATACCTGATTTACTTTAGAGTTTTGAATATGACTGTTACTGGTATCCTTCAAACTTGTCGGCGCATCTCTGCAAAAAGTTGGTTGAGGAACGGCTATATTCGGTCCAATTTCCATCCTGAAAATAATCACGATGATTTTAGTCAATTTTAAAACATGCTGTTTCCGAGAACTGAATCCAAAGTTAGAACCATACCAACTGGGTCGATTTAATTTCCACACTAAAGTGCAGTTAGTACATGTTACAAGTAGAGAGTTGAATATAGTGAAAGGTACTTGAGAATAATTCCCTCTTTAAGTGTCAGTTAATAACCCAATAATTACGAATACCCTCCACCATACGAAGCGAGCTCTTGAGGCCCAGTGGTAGGGTGACTAGGCCACCCTCTTGTTCTGTCAGATTCGGGCTCCAACTCCGCTAAGCTACAGTTGCAACTCTAGTCTCTTGAGACTCGTCTTCAGCGCAGGGGAGATGAGTGAATCTGTTGTATTATTTTCGTCTCAAATGTAATCAAACTAACAATCTGTTGAAATGATTCTCCTCCAGACCTCGATAATTCTTCAGTTGTGATCGTCACATGCTCTTTTTAAATGCTCAACCTCGCGGGGGAACTCGCTACGCTTTGCATTAGAATGAAATGCACTTTGTAATGCCGAGCAACAATTTCTGGCTCATCTGTAAGAAACACTTACGTGCATGGGGAAACTAATGGTACATACGTCGTTTTTAAACTGAGCCAGAAACTGTATTTCCTAATTGCGAAATGTAATCCAAATTTTGCTCAATTTCAAACATGTTCACATTGAGAAAAATGAATTGAAACTATATTACATGTTACATTTCCTCTCAATTTAACAACATTGACAAAATAAAAATATTCTGATATACACTGTTTGATCATGTCCTTTTCGAGGTATTTATGAACCAGTAAGTGTTATTTGAATCGGAGTTTGATTGGATATGGGGTTGTACCTTTTTTATCTCTTTAGAAGGACATCGAATATAGGTAGTGAAAAAAAAGGAAGGGGGGTGAAGCAGTTCATACCGTTGGTAAACGGAGTGCGTGGAGAAAAGTCACTGCAAATCCGTGTCTCTCGCTCACTTGTTCACATAATTAAAATGCATACTGAGGCCAAAAGGGATTAACTACTATCACGAGCACACAATATTTAAACGTGGAGAAGTAAGCGCGCTTCAATTCTATTGAATGTGTGCTGATTAATGACTGAAAACCCGTTTTAATGAGAATATCAACTGCCTCTGACTTTTTAGAGCTTACGTGGACTCAACGCACACTTTTTTTCGATGTAATTGCTTCTTTATTGAAGTTATTATTTAAATACTGTTTATTTTCAGTTTATCGATCCATCATATCTGGATAAAATTCAAATCGTAATTTCTGACTCTTCGTATGAAGAAAAGACTTCGGCAGGCATGGGATACTAAAGTTTTTGATTTAGGTGATTAATTCAGGCTCTCGTCTATGGAAGTTGAGCTTCAGTTCAGATAACAAAAGTTTCAATGATCTTCTTCTTTTTTGCTACTTTCCTGCTTCTTTTTGCATGCAGTCCGCGACTCGTATTCTGTAACGAACATGTTGGTTATCTGAATCGCAAAGCACAGTTCCTGTTACTATGACTACGGTCACTTAGACCTATAACTTTGGAGTTTCATATGAGCGAAAGTTTCGCACGTTTTTGTTTGTATCTTGCTTCTTACTGTATCTTGCATGTGCTCATTACTGGTTGAAAAAAGAAAACATTGAAACATTGGTAAATTTTTTAGTTACCGTTTCTTCCTTTCTAGTCGATGCTTTACCAATAAGCAAATAATATGAGCTATTGATGAATTTAAAAAAAAAATTACTCAAACTAACACTGAAATAAATTTCGATGATTTGATCTCCCAGCGGAATTGAACTTTTTATGAAATAGACAAACAATCAACTAGAGTAGAAAAATGTTTAAAATAATCCTCGTATTAGATAGTTGGGGCTGGATTGGAAGTCAAAGAGTGAATCGAACAGACCGCTAAATCAATTCCAATCGCGGACCAAATCCCATGATTCTCGACCGGCTGAACGAAGGAATGTAAAAGTTCAATCGGAAAAAATAGAAAGGTTACTCCATCGAAAGCAATTAAAAAGAACTCTAATCGAAACAATGGTTAAACGAATTCCGCTGTTTTTGTTTCCCTTCCCGTTTTCGTTGATGAAAAATAAAATCCCATTAAATAAAATTCAGAAAAATGCGCCAAGTTCGCGTGTAGCATCGAGGAAGGAAAAGACAGGCAAGGAAACATTGTTGCCGAACAGAGCCACTGAAGTGTTTTTGAGAGAAAAGTCATGGGAAAAACAAACCGTTTAAGGCTTGTTCTGGCAAGTGGAATGATATTGCAGAGCGATACACGATAGGTTCGCCTTCACTTGACGAGATAGGCCAAAGCGGGCACACAGAGGTTGAAATAGTGGTATCACGAAGAATAAGGGAATCCCACTAGGGATCGAATAAAAGATGCATCAAATATATAGGCATTGCCATACAAGTGCTGATGATAATATATCCGATCACATCCCAAGAAACTAACAAAACCTAAGCGTATTTTAATATTAATCACATACTTTTGAGCAGCAAATTGACGTTTTCCTGCTCGATTTTTCTTAGTTCAGGTGATGCGTGTATCTCGGTGATCGTAGGAATGACTGTATCGTCTTTGAAATACAGTTATATTTCATCGGATAGAATATTACAACGAATTGTTTTTCTTATTTTGTATTTATTTTTTAAAATCTCATGTTCTTAAAACTTTGCCCATTTACCGCCATTTGAAAGATATTTCTAATTTTCACGATATATGGTGACACAAATCATATCGGTTTACGTAACTCACTTTTTTCGATGTTTTCGCCCTTCTTTTCCTAGTGTATCAGTAACTTAAACCTAGGCCGTCCTTAAAAGAATACATTATGGGTTGAGCTACCCCCCTCCCCATTTGCATCAGTTTCTCCCCGAAACAAGTTAATTAAAGGTCAACCTTATGTTTTTTTTCTCTTTTTCTCGAACTTTTGATTTTGCTTGCTGCCATGCTGAGGAAAAACGCATTATGAGCTTTCAAATGTTGCCAATTTTCCTCTTCGAAAATATTAAATTACAAAAAAGAGTGTGAATATTTTTCCTGAAAATGTCCAGACTTTTTAGATCAAATTACGAACTAAATCCTCTGAAAAACCTGAGAAGAAATATTCACAAATCTTATTGAAAATTCGTGATGAGTCAAAGGAAATTTTGCAACGCCTGATGGCTCATACGGCGTTCTTGCTTAGCTAGGACGGCAGGAGAATACTTGAACGGCCCGAGCCCAATTTTCCCAGCGGAAAAGGAATGGCGAGACTTTGCAACGACGGATCAAGGACGAAATAGAGGTATTACAGGGAACTCTCTCATTCACTCTGCCAGTGCAGGATTGTGCTCTTAATCTAAACCTGAGCATAATATAATTGGAGTTGTGCGGTAGAGATTTAGTGCAGCCAGGCGTCAAGCGACCGGGATTGGTGGGGCGCGGGGGGAGACGACTTTGTAACCAACATTGAAATCAAATTGACGCTGGCTCCGACGAACGAGGGGCGCCCAGGGAGGGGTGGGGGCAGGCACCAACAAATTGAATTGTTAGTACAACAGTAGCTCTGTGTAATCACTTTAGCCAATCTGTTTTCCACTCCCAACTTTAATATCTTGCATTATTTCCATATAATAACTTTTCTCGTGCTATGTACAATGTGCCCGGCTAAGACTTCACCGCTTCTTCGTGCTGCCCGTCACTAGGCTACGTACAACGAGCGTACCCTCTCTCTCCCTTACCTCTAAATTATCCTATCAGCAATTATTCCTCGGTTAATTGTAATTTGAATCGTGTGCTTATGATTTATCATTTTCGTTTTCATGCACGTGGCTTGATAGGTATTATTCAAATACCGACTTTCATCGACCACAGAACCTTCTATTTTCTTTTCTTTCCCTGGAAGATAGATGAACATTCTGACTGATTCGTACCAGTAATGAATCGTCGCTCGTGATAACCCATCGTTTCACCCGTGTAAATACAGTGCGTGATCAGTTCTAGTTTTTAGTTATAAATCGGTTTTATCGTAAGACAAGTAAAAACCACAAAGGGATCGGAACACCTGATGTTGGGATGGTCAGATCCTGAAATGGCCATCGTCATTTTAAAAAAAAAGGAAAATGACCAGGAAGGAACAGAATGATCAGGAATGATCAGGAAGAAACGGTAAAAACAAAAATTTCCTGAGAAAACATCAACATGAGTCCTGATAAGAATGGATAAACTTTCAAAATATTCGAATAGTAGTGGTGCGTGAAATAAGACTATGGGGGTAAAATTTGGAAAAACGAGCTTTTAACAGAATTCAAAAGAAAATACTCATTCCGTTCAAAGCTTTGAAGTTATTTCGAGACTCTGTTCAATACCAACTAAACATACTTGGCCAGTGTTTGCGGTTATCTGGTCGAAGCTTCCGAGAGAACACGGGATCAGGTCGAGAGAAGTTGAATAAGTGGTTTAGCCCTTCGTGAAAGAAAATTGTCAATGACATGGCATTTCCAATTTCTAGGCAAAATTGTTCGAATGAAACTAATTTGTACGACAGAATCACATTTTAAATGAAGGGAAAAATTAATAAATGTATGGTATTATAGGGTATAAGGGTGATGACGGATGCAACCCGCCAAACGTATACGTATAGGCGAGAGGGTTGGGATCTAAGTTTCCAGCTGTATAATAACAGCTGCTCTTAAATATTTGTGTTTCGTCACGGCAAAAAATGCTTTATTACAATTCTGCGGATTATAAAGTCTCATACTGAAGAGTTCATCAGGTGAAACTGTGCTGCTGAAAAACGAAAATTCACATTTTTGCGTGCTACCCATGGCCCGGTCGTTTCCAGGGACTCAGAAGAATAATTTACGAGCCATTCTAAGATGCAAATTTTTACAAAGAATCGTTTTCTGCATGATTAAAAAATTATTTTCTTAAAATTTAGCAACAAAATCAATAATTTCAATTAAAATCATTTTCCCAGACATTTGACCATGCTTGCGACATGATATACGGTGGTTTTTGAAAATCGTCGTTTTTCTTGTAAACGTGAAAATTTCCCACGATCATTTTGTGTATTTTTGGAGGGGTCATTTTTCTGGTGACGGATTTTGGGGTGTTTTTTAGGGGCGGAACCCTTAGTCTCGCGGGTAATCGGACATTTTACCCCACACCTGTCTCTAATATTTTGCAATGTAAAAATTAGGAAAAGACCGTGCTAAGTTTTAACGTCTCAGAATACGCACCACCTAATACCGTAGACTTGAAAAGCACGTAAGAAGTCTCGGAACTGCAGCCATATTCTTCCCCTGAAAACATTGTTTACAGTCCTGACTTTGTGTGGTCAGGAAACTCTGTGGAATCGGTTTTCACGCTGGACCACTATCTGATTACTGTGTTTGATATCGCGAACATTTTCCAAAATCTACGACCACCAATCTCTTTTCGGAAGTCTCATATCATAAGTAATATCTTTTTTCGCGAACGTTTTCCAAAGTCTATGAACGCCAGTCTCTTTTCAAAGGTCGCATAGCATTACCTTCGTGCTGAGGAAAAACGCCGTATGAACCAAATGCCACCATTACCAAATTTCCTTTGGTATAACAAGAATTTCCTGATAAACTTATGAATATTTTCCCTCAAATTTTTCAGATAATTTTGTCCACAGTTCCACCTAAAGCTGTTGAAAATTCAAAGGAGATATATTCATAACTTTCCTCAGACATGAACATTTTGTCGAAAGGAATTTGGCAACTCTCGAATGTTCATACCGCGTTCCTCCTCAGCACGGCCGATTAGTAATATTATTTTTCTCGAGCTGTTCGAGTAGCATGGAATCAGAAAACTGGAGGAGCGAGAAAGTAAAAAGCTTAAAGGCAGACTTTTCATGTTATTTTTATCTAATCAACGAACTGATTTAAAAAGCAAACACACTTCCGTGGACCTTAAAATGTTGTCTTTTTTATCTTTACTTTATTCATACTATTTTTCAGGGCCGGATTAAGGGGATGGCCACATGGGCAGCAGCCCATGGCGGCAAATCTAGGGGGCGGCAAATTTTGCACTTTTTTTTAAATGTAGGTATAAAAAAAATCGAATTTAGAAAAAAAATTACAAACGAGAAAAGGCAACAAAATCTCTCATTTCTAATTTTGACGTCCTCCAGTGATACAAGAGACAGAACCTTTAATTAGTCGAGTTAAGAGAGAAATCAAACACGCAATTTGGCCTGGAAAGGCGCGACTTAAAGAGAAATGATGACGAGGACTTGAGATGAAAAGGAGAACCTCTCGGCGCGGCGGTCGGAATGTAACACATATTAGCGCCTACAAGACTGCACGAATACTTCACGCATCGAATCAAACGCAGTGCAGTCACTGCTGTCAGCGTGAAACGAATAGCGATTACAAGAATGCACGAATACTTCACGCATTGCGCCAAAGACAGTGCGGTCAGCGTGAAACGCTTAGCGCCTACAAGCCTGTCGGAATACTTCACGCATTGCGCCAAACACAGTGCAGTCTGCGCAGCGCGGCGGCGGAAGTTAAAATCATTAAACTACATTTATGTTTGTTCTTTCATAATTTTTTTGTTAATATCTTATAAATGGAAGGCCTTGTCCAGCCACACAGAGATAGGTTTACGGAACTTAACTTTCGCGCAAAGTTCCGTGAACTTTTGCTAGTAGTGTTGACAGGGCTTTCCCAAATAATGTGTCCAACGCAAGTAAACGCGTCTTCTGCATCCTTCCCCCGCTGGCACGCTCACTTGATGGTTTTTATTAATGTTTCAAAACGAATGAAAAGGGGGCGGCAAAATACAGGCGGCCCATGGGCGGCAAGTAGGTAAATCCTGCCCTGATATTTTTGATTTTTTTTTTTTCTCTAAACAGCTATTGAAACTGATGGGGAGAGAATTTTTTGCAACTTTGTTGTAAGCTTTTGATATTAAGTGTCGGACTTACTAAGTGACCCGAAATTTAAACTATACTGTCACGTCAGATAGTTTCCATTTTGCTAAGTAAACTCATCGTCACTGAATTCCGCTTTTTCTTTTTTAAATTTTAAAGTAAGTTTGTCGAAAAGCTGAAAAGGGTATCTAATAAATGGCAAGCATAATCACTTAGTATGGCTCCTATGTCTATGTAGCATAAAATCTGTGCAAGACATATTTCTCATAGATCCGAGTTTTTCCATTCAGTGAACGGATAGCCTTCCGTTCATTGAAATCGAGCGAATATTAAAAGATAACAGGAGGAAGATTTACAACGCTGTAGTAAAAAGTATTTTAAGGAACATAGTGATTGATTGAAAAATCGAGCTACAAAGCCAAAATAAACGAGTAATATTTCAAACTACATGTAGATGAAAAAAAATATAAAACTTACAAAAAACAAAGCAAAAGTTTCGACTGCCTACAAACTGCGATCTTCCTCACTGCATTACGAACGAGCAACCAATGGAGACAATGGACCAATGTTCGAAACGTTTGCTTTGTTTTTCGTAAGTTTTATATTTTATCTCATCTACATGTAGTTTGAAATATAACTTGCTTATTTTGGCTTGTTGCTCGATTTCTTAACCAATCACTATGTTCTATACAGCTTAGCCAGCCAAATTTGGGAAAAAGAGGATTTTAAGTATGGATGTGAAGTTTTGCAGCTTAAAAAGGAACTTAGAATATATTATGAGCAATGAAGTTGGATTTCTGGCGGAGTTCAGCAAGCATTTCCAGAAGAAATCGTGTCTGTAATGATAAGGTGCGTCAAATCATTGACGTCGATAATGACATCGTATTTGACGTCATCCGCGAACAGTTAGTCAGGGTAGGGCACGTTTAACCGCATGACAGAAAAGGCTGCCAAAGAAAATGCTTAACGCTGCGTTTGGGTAAATTTACCACCTCGTAACGCCATATGGCAGCATTTTCCGTTGAAGCGCATGTACTATAGAGAATTAAACCATTCTGTCATAACCCTTTCAACAATAGCTCAATGCAGAAACCTAGAAAATTGTCGTTCTCAATTCACTCAGTAATTTTCTTTTCTAAATAGAACTTATTAAATTTCAAACACCTGCAAAGTCTAATTACGCAAAAACTAAGGCAAGAAGTCGTGTCCTTTTTCTTTTATTTGCAAAACAAAATCAAATTCTGTTTTAGCATGTAGGATGTGTCTGATGATCTCTAGACTCTGCCGCACGGTAGATCGAGTCAATTAGAGAGTAAGGACATGAAATTTTTGACAAAAACTGCGAATTTTGATGTTTGTTTCGTCACATTTTAAAGTTCAAGGGGTGCAACTAGAAGGAAATTTCACGAGGAAACCAATAAAACCACTTTTAGAACCTCAAAGGTTAGTATAAACGGAGTTAAAGCGTTTAAAGTTTCCAAATTTTGTCCTCCTATTGACTCGATCCTCTGTGTGCCGTGGTAGACAAACGCACATATAATTTTTTTAATTACACAGATAAAAGAGAAAGTAATGATTCCTTGCCTAAATTTCACGCAATTTAGAATTTGCAGATGTCTGAAATTTAATGAATTCCATTTATTAGTGGAAATTATTGAGTGACCCGAGCACGAGAATCCTCTGTTTCTAAATTGAACACCATCTAAAGATCACCAGACGAATTTTTGACATCTAGCAAGATGGCTGTATGAGGATTTTATTTTTTCGGTATATGCCACAACCAGTGTTCGAAACTCACAGGCGCCAACGCGCCAAATGCGCCTGAGAAATCGGTCATAGCGCCTAAAAAATGATGGCTCTGCGCCAACGTGGCCCCTAAATATTGCCCCCCTCCCCCCAAAAAAAAAAATCCTAGTTTTTATTTTTTGTGAATTTTCAAAATTTTCCCCAAATTACAGTTACTAGTTCTGTGACTAAAACATCTTGCTTCTAATGTTTCACTAAATGCGCCGTGATATATAGGCAAAAAGTTAATCTGGCCCCTAAAAATGAAGCTTGATGCGCCACACGGCTCCTAAAACTCAAAGGTGAGTCTCGAACACTGGCCACAACACGGATCACTTAGTAGAAGTTTTCATAGCAGTTATCTTGCAAAATCTTACCTTCTAGTGCTTGTGATTCGCTCCTATCCGTTCACCAATAAATTTATCTAAAATGACTCATGAATAAAGGACAAAAAATGCACATGTAGATACACTTCCAACAACGTAAAGTTCACGATCACCAGTTAAAATCAGTTTGAATGGAGCACCAGAACCTTGATCGGCGGGGAAAACTTTATCAGCTACTTTGAGGAGTGATAAGAGCCCGGCGCCGGGGTTTGCGGGTGCGGAATTAAGGGCAGGAAGTGTGTTTGTTTAAAAACAACTGGCTCATAACCTCGGAGGGGAGGATCCACGGACTCGGCGGCACCCTATCCAGAGCGCGTTGGGGGTGCGTGCGCCGTTGGATCGACCAATGCCGGCCCGCCATCGCCCGGCGCCCGGAATTGTTTGTAATCGCTCGAAGCTTCATTTAATTCACTCTCTACCTCATTATTTACCTTTGTTTCTCTTGCTCTGATTTTCAGCCCCTCTCCCGACCTCCCTCGCCGCAACCGCACGGTGGGTCTATTATATACCCTCTTAGGGAAAAGCGCCGTGTCACACCCAGGATGTGCAGTGCACGGAGAAAAATCTGTGGCTTTTTAGACCAATTAGTGGTCTGTATGAAACACCTTTAATAGTAATAAATGAACAAATGATTATCGGTCTGTGAACCATACTAAGTTATAAATACCATACTAAGGTACATATCGACGGTGTAAGTTGGCAAACACATAACTCGTTTGCGGCGTCTGAAAATCTTCGCTTCTGTGGTATTTTTTTCAAGGAGAACTTTACATCATTCCTTAAATGTTTTGCAGAATTTTCTTCGCATAGAGAAGAAAAATCACGGCAGTTTTATAGAATTGCCGTTGATGAGTAGTTTTCCGTTTAAATTGACTAAATTTTTTATTAAATTAACCGGAACAGTATAGATCATTTCGAGACATTTCAGGATGCTGCTATTCTAATGTACTAGCGTTTTCTTGACCTCCATTCATTGATTCCGACTCACTGCATGGTGGCCAGCGTATTGAATTATCAGCAGGGTGATTGTTGAAATTGATAGACAAAGAAGACATAGGGAAAATAAAGCGATTTTATTGGTTGAAACGGGTGGTTTGCTTAGACTAGAGAAAAAAATCGATATAGACTTAAAGGTTGGATTTCTCGTGAGTTGCTGTTAGTTCGTCTATTACTTACCTCTCTTGTCTATTGCAACCACCTGCTTCCACCAATAGGATTGCTCCATTCTCTCCTTTATCAATCGTTTTGTCTCTTAATGTCAAAAGTCAGCACGCAAAACTTCGAGAGCTGGACTCGATCTTAGTAGTCCAAGCCCTAGCTTCCACGAGTTTTGAGTTCCCGATTGGAAATGTTCGACTGTATTAACAAAAAGATTTGGTCAAGTTATAGGGAGAATTCATGAGAAAATCGTATTCAAAAGTTTGTATTCTTATTGTTGAAGAGTCATGTTCTGATTGTGTGTTGTGCACTGTGGCCCCATATTAACACGAAATATTGATTGCTCTCTCTAACAATGCGGATGAAATCGTTATGGAAAGGTAATCCTGGGGGTGAGTCTGAGTCTTTCCCTTTTTGCTAATCCAGAGAGCCTGGGTCTTCTACAAATGAATGAATGTATTTAAATATTCAAAATGAACAAGTTTTTATGGAGGAAGAAAATGATCGCGCACATTCATAATGTCACTAATAGAAGAGGCAATTCCTCGAGGTAACATGTCCTCTCAAAGTGAGGAGGGGATTGAAAGGAGCCGCTTGATGAACATTCTTCAGCGTGAGCACATATTTTTTACCACGAAAGTCACGAAGGCATAGTGAAAAATGCACGGTGTCTCAGGTATGCAGTCATGAGCAACGCAATGATGTACCTCGCGAACGGTATAAATTGAAGGCGCCTTAGCTTTTTCAATGACAACGCCTTGATGCAACTATTCGGGCTCATGGGATGTCCGTGTTGTATGCTCAATAATTGAAGGCGCTTTACCTTTTTCAATAGACCAGTATATAAAGTACGAATTCAAGTATTATGGTATATGCTTTCTCATCAAAGTTACACGTAAATCACGAAGGATACGTAATTACACGTAAATCACATTGGACGAAGAAACTTACTGAAAGCAACTTCTATTAAAGATACTTACATACACATTTTTTTTTATTCAAATTGCAAATTCAAATTCGAAATTCAAACTTCCCGCTCCTTAGAAAAACGATTACCCATCTATAAAACTTGATATAAACTAAATGTTACCACAACAGTTCTCTTCGATGTGAAATTACGGCAGCTCTCCATATTGGCGTTACGGCTTAACCATCGCACGTTATTTACAATTTAAATATGTAGTTCGTATTTTCTATTATATTCCAATACGAGACAAGGAGTAGAAAGATATTTGACAAAAGTAGTAGAAACCTGTGCTTGTCAATTGGTACCGGATGAAATCATTCGATCCGGCGCGAAACCGGGGTGCATTAATTTTGCGGAAAATTCGTGCTTTAGTCGAATTTCTCGGTTTCTGAGTCATTTGTTCGCGTTTTTGATGTGCGCATTGTGTTTTGCGCATAATTCACACTCGGAAAAATGTATTCGTACATATATTCAAAATTCGTTTATGAGTTTAGTGACCCATGATTCACGCTCTATGGATGTTCGTATTGCAGGCACACAAACATTGCGCGATATACTTGATGTAGATAATGTTTTATACCTAAATTCCATTGCTGGCGAAGCAACACTTTATCCCCGAGATGATGAACGAATGAATAGTGTTGAATTGCTGCACTGCTCACTAGAATTCAGGGGCCACTTACGGTGCTTACGGCAACTGAGCGTACATCACAGACTAGGTATTAGCATGAAGAAAACCAGAGTGCTTGTTTTGCGTGCCGGCAACACGAACATCCTAAATAATTTTATCCAGGAGCCAGGAGTTACAAGTAAAAAAGCCAAAGCGCCTTCAATTGAGGAGCATGCCACACGGACATCCCACGAGGCCGAATAGTTGCAACCAGCTAGGCGTTGTCATCAAGGAAGCTAAATCGCTTCTAATTTTTAGTGTTTTCGAGGTACGTCATTGCATTTTCTAAGACTGCATGCGTGTGACATCATCTAGTTTTGACTGCTCTTGTGACTTTCATAATGAAACATGTTAAACTCACATTGAAAAACGTTCATCAAGCGGCTCCTCTAATCTCCTTCTCTTTATAACTTACAAATTACATGAATATTTTTTATATAGCATTTGATTTTAAAAAATTATAAAGTCTGGGTGCTTCAACGTCCAGTTGGTATTATTCTTAATTTTAAAGTAAAGAACTTTAATTTAAAGTACAAGTTTTTGGGTTGGGTGAATTAGGTGTTCTAATACGTTTGTATTAGGAAAGCGTTTAGCGTAGTTTCATGCAATTCTCGAATGTTTAGTGCATATTCTCCATTACAAACTCAACTAAGCTTATCAAAGCAAACACTTTTAAGCAATTTGCTACTTTTATGAAAAAAAGGTGCCACTCTTAGTGCAGTAACTCGTTAACGACCTTGTTAACGACCCTTAACTCACATCAAGAAATGCAGAATTTACAACTTTCACTCCCAAAATACATTCCTCCACTCATTTTTTATTGTCTTTTTTTTGCAACAAAATCCTGATCTTCTTCACTTCAAACTAGCTAAGAATATTTTTTTTTATTTATTTATTTTTTTATCTAAACTCCGTAACCTAAACTTCCTTACTCCTGCTCTGAATATAGACATTGAAAGCCATTGCAACTAAATTTCTCTTAATTAAATATTTAACTATAATGGTAGCTGTACGTGTAGATGACTTAGCAAAGATGCTGACACGTAACACTTCATAATTAACTTTAATGTATTTTTAACTTTACGCAGCCATCGTCATCAGAACCATGCACGATTATCGTAATAACATGATAAAATTCCCTTACCCAATGTAAACTGGAACCATAATTATTTTAGTAAGGAGTCAATTAGAATAATTTCAGTTGTGCGAATCTTTCGTTCTTCGTAAAATTATGGTTAAGAATCATGTATGAGAATGCTTAAATTTGTACCTTGTCCTTGTCTACCGATTCATTTATATTTCTTTCAAAAGTGCCTGAGAAGGAAAGAAAGAAGAAAAATGTAAGTGCAAGAAGAGGGTGATATTGGTACAAAAGTAATGAATTCATTGCCTGAATTTTGAATTTTGCGCTAAAGAAGATCTGTAACGTAATGGCGTCGAATTAGGGCATTACTGTGAGGGGTTGAAGGGAGGGTCGTCTCTGTTGGAAGTCTGCTCATGTTGGAGAATGGAATGAGCAAGCTCACGCAGTCTCGCGGGTGTCCGTAGCTACTGAAGGTTCATCACAACTCCGCTAGATGGAGGGTGAATGTATCGGGGTACGCGAAACACAAACTCTACGTAGTATAACTCTGAGGTATTTTCATGTTTAATTTATCTCTTATTAATCAATTTTTTTCATGAGACGGGCATTAAGTTATGGCATTTAATTGTTTACATGTAATGTTGCAAGAGTAGCTCTACTTAAAATAATCATCGATTGAATTTTTAAAGAAAAACTCACATAACACAGAAAAGTCATGAAATTTCATGCCATGGGGTCTTCATTTTTCCCTAACATTACTGTGTGGTGCAGTCAGTAATCTAATATACTACTCGATGAAATGAGCTTGATGAACTCGATTCTTGAAATCACTCAACCGTACTTTTGCCTTTTTCGTGGGGTTCACTGATCTCAAATCGCTCTCTCATAGTTTTAAGACTCTCAACTATTCACTTTCTGCACCTTTCATTTTTTAACCGCTCTTTGGCGAAACTTGCGCACATATTGTTCTCGTTTTTCCCACTTTCAGAAGTGCAGTATCACTATACACCCAGAGGCTCATTGTTTTTCTGGGTTGAAATCAGAAAACCATCATGGATTGAAGAGATTTTGATGCAATTACGTGTAGGTAAAAATATAACTACACATAAGTCATTAGACCCAAAATGAAGAACCACTTCCTTTAAAATGACGCCAAATGGACCAAGACAAATTGTTGACATTATTTTCATCTGAGTAAATTTGTCTACAAATCCAAATTTTTTTCTGTTGGTATATTGGCTTTTATCCCAGTGGAGTCTACCGCCAAATGAATCTAACTTATTAAATCCTGCAATGCTTAATAATCAGGTTATACGTGA